TTCAAAATGCTTTAGTGACAGCTTCATATATGGATTCATAATGTGCTATAATTCAGACAACTGAGACACAAGTGAGTTTGATATGCTCTGGAAAAACATGTGAAGATTAAAAAAAGCAGCTTTATTGAAGACAAATACATTGATTTGAGATGCTTATGAAGAATTTGGATAAAATTTATGAACTATGAGAATGGAAAAAGCAGTATTTGAAAATTAATATACTGTTTTGAATAACGTAACTTTAAATATGTTTCTGTAACTAAATTAATATATTAAAAAGTTTTAAAGCAGAATTTGACAATTTCATTTATACCTGGACGTGTTTATATATTCATGTTGGCCACAAACCTTATTTTGAATTCTTTATTTGAGGAAGTGGGGGCATACTTCAGAGTTTGTATATTTATATATATATATAGCTTTTATATATGTTTCTTCATATACACATATGATAATTTGAAATAACAAAAAGTGTATAAGTACAGATATATTGATCATACCAATTTTTATAATAGCAAAAATGTGGAAGCTGCCTAAATTCTCAGTCATATGAGAACTGAATAAGTAAACTATAGTTTGTTCCTAGGTACAATATTAATGTACCTTATTAAAAATACTGATTAGGAAAAGTATCTAATAGGATAGAGAATTGATTACATAATGTTAAAAAGGATACAAACTGTATATGGAGTATGATTACGTATACAGAGTATGTAATAATCTATACAATGAAAAAGAAAATTGGGATGGAATATGCCAAAATAATAACTGTGTTGCTTTTTGGTGGCAGTCCTGATTTTCTTTCAACATAGAATATTCTGTAATGAGTTTCAGGGAGGAAAAGAGCTTAAGTCATTTAGTTCTCGCTCCCCCAGTTGACAACCTTCCCAGTGGAGTCATCCACCTGAACTCTCTCTCTGACAAGGGTGTTTGTTTCACTGCTGAGTGGCTTTCAACTATTACAAAGCTATTCCTGCTATTGAAATGAAATCTCTTTTTTCAGATATCCTTTTTTCCCCCCTTTTGTCCCCAAAGTTGCCCTCTGCTTCAGGCCTCTCTCCACCAGCAGGTTAATGTTCTCTTTGGCTCTGTGCTCCAGCTGGGCTTCTTCCTGGACACGGAAAGAGGAGTGACTGCTCTGGAAGACTCCAGACTCTCCTTGTATGATCCACACTGAGCCAACAAATGAAGGGAGAACAAATGTTTGTCATTCATTTTGGGCAGTGTTCCTCCAGCTTTGGAAATTCTGTCTTGGTCACTTTAGTCTTTAGCTTATGGCATCCTCTCTATTAAAATACACTGCCCCTCCCTCCCACCCAACCTCAGAAAAGCTAAAGCCTCCATCTATTTTCATCACTTACTAAATAGTATGAATTGGTTTCACGTCATTTCTTGACGTCAGGTTTTGAGGGAAATAGAATGAAAGCATATGAGAAACATTATGGGGAGGAGGGTACAAGGAAATGGCACAGAAAGATGAGAATGGGGTTCCCTGGAGGGTCTAGTTTACAGTTGGCAGAGGGCTGGCAGCTGGCAGCCTCCCTTAGCAATTGCCAAGATTCTCCATTATTCTAGCCACAGCTAAGGACTTTTTGGTTTTTTGAGGGTTCTGCAGGATTCAAGAATTCTGCACTCCTTAAATTCTCACTTTCTTTCACAGACTCAAAGAAAACACACATCCTAAAAGCGGACTTTATACTCTCTGGGAGATTAGGTTACTATCAATTCAAGTGATAAATACTCTGAGTCCACAACAGGATTTTCCCTGGTATGTACGTCTTTGTTTCTCTATTTGCACTTTGTCCCTGCCCTTCCTATCTTTCTTAGCTTTACTAAGTAGTCAGTGCACAGTAAGGACCCTTCTTGGGGCAAAAAATAGTAAAAGAAATCTACAGACTTAGGGAAAGCCAGGGTACACTCTCTCACAGACCGTTGCGGTACCAGAACATCGTTGCGAGACGTGGCACAAACTAGCAATGATATTCCGATCAGCACAATCCCCATCACCATTGCCCTACATGTGGAGAGAGGAAAGGTCCTGCTGCTCATGGCTTTCAATGCCTTTCCAGTGTATGATTATCATGTGAGATTCAGAGATGGGCAAGGTCAGTGATAAAGGAAAGCATAACGTCAAAGCTTTGGATAAATCTGCAGGATTTCCTAAATTACAAGTAAAGTTGTAATATCTACTTTCCATTAATTCCCTTAACTCTCAGCCTTCTTAAATCTTGGTGGCAGACTCAGCCTTCTACCTCCCAGCAGGAAACATTAAATCCCTGAAGACGCTCAGGAGAAAGTCTCTGAGTCTCTCTCTTTGAGCAGGTGTTAAATGACTAATGGATTACAAGTATGGGAATTTCTAAGAAGCCAATTCTTACGCCCTGCCTAGGTAGATGCTTCCTGGGTAGTTCGTGGTTGTGACTCCCATCCTTTGTGACCTGGCTAAAAGTCAACAGCTTTTGTTCTCTGAATTGGAAATCAAATGTGAGATGTGCAGGGGTACAGAAACCGTAGGATGTGGACATCGGGATCCAGGGTACCTCCTAAGAAAGATGCATCCCTTGGCTTAGGCAGCTAGTGAGAAGAGTGAGTCAGCAGAAGATATGAGCAGTTTTCCACCACGCAAGCCCCATCCATCGCACCACTTTCCACGCCTGTCTTAGAACACAGTCTCTTCCAGGTCTATTCACCAATCTGTATAGTCAGGTCTGACTACTGGGATCAGTCTGATGGCACAAACAATGCTGAACAAGGAGATCCTTCCTCCAGATGTGATGGAGACCAGATGGCTTGGGGTGTGGAAGCCAAAGAGCCATGGCAGAACCATCCTAACCCCTCCTGGCAAACTATCTATCCAGAGAGAAATCATTGTAGAAAGAGAATATCTCTTGCTTCTTTCATTATAATAGAGGTGAACAAATCCTGGTGCAAAATTGTCTTCTTTCCATACAATCAATCTGCACTGATAGTTGTTGTTTAACGTATGTAGGATAGAGTTTCAATTTTAATCAGTGAATTCTCTGTATGCAGAAATAGTGTACAGGTACTGGCAGAAATACATCCAGATGGAAATATGGGGTGATTAGAGACCTGTTTATACATAGCCCTTTGAGGCTTTGTATTGGAGAGACGGGAAACTTTTACTCTGGAGTCAGATTCACTTACTTTACCTCCAGCCTCCAGACTAACACAAGCCTATGTTGATTTGTGCCAGGTTGTGAGTAGATTAGGTCTGCCATAAATACATGATGCAATGAGGTGTGGTATTAGGAGCACAAAAGTAAACCAGAGAGTTGGGGTTTTCTAAGGTGACAATGCTTCTCTCGTCCATCAAAGGCGTGTGATCTGGATAGCTCCCATTACTCTCTATTCCCTCGCATGCTAAGGCATTGAAGCCTTTGGAGCTTCACAGGTTTCATATATCCTATAGAATTGAAGATTCAGTTGTGAGCCTTTACAGGGGTGATATGTAGTGAGCCCAACCTTTTCCAATGGCAAATTACAGTGATGAAATAGCTGGACCTGGAGTTAGGTAGAATCTTTTGAGTCTTTCTGAGTCAGACACCTTTAAGGGTCATAATATCAATGAAGTACAGGCTCGGTCCCAAAATGCTGCTCAGGAGACAGGTCTGTGAGAAAAACACCCACAAATGGCACAAGGGGGTGCTAACTTTTCAGATCTGCATGGGTTGGATTAGGACTGAGAAGCAAAGAACAGGAACCGGAAAGGAACTGTTTTGTATCATTTTACTTGTTGAGATGCAAATGGTCTCAGGACATCATTTTGGAAGGTGTAAGGCTCAGGGTGAGTGAGACTGGGAGGAAGAACTGAGAGGTGGAAAGTTTGTAGAGTATCAACAGCGTGTGTGTAGATTTCAAAGAGGAAAGTATGATTTTAGAAGGTCGAGGCCCAAGGATCAAGATTGGAGAAGATATTTAGAAATAAATTTGGCATAAGACACTAAGTGAATGACTGGGTATGGAGCAATCACATTGGGAGCATGTTTTACTGATGTTATACTGCCTCAAGCTAGTTCAAGCTTGAGCTCTTTGCTCCCAATAGCTGCTGGGATAACAGAGAAGTGGAAGAGGAAATCTCTCCATAGAGTTTTCTGAAGATATCAAAATTTAACTTGTAAATTGACCTTGTAATGGAAATGAGAATGCACAGGAAAGTCTTTTGGAAGCTAGCTTCAGAAGGGAAATACTAGAAAATACAAAAAAACCAGAAGATTTAGAGAAAAAGAGGAAATTCCAAGCTTAGTGAATGGTCAGATTTAACATAGTTTGGGACATATAATTTTCCATCAGAATATTAGTAACAACGTTTCAGTCAACTTGAGTCTGGATGTGATGTTTTTACTCAACTTGTGTTGAGTGAAAATGGCAGCTGCTATTTTGTGTGAGTTCAGTTAGCAATTCATAGGGGACGGTTAGTCTGAACCTCGCTTCTGTTTGACAGATCCTCTGGCTCAGAAACACATTGAGGGTCTCGTTTTTTTTCAGGTCTTTTGTTTTTTAGATTCTGTTCAGGGTTGTTGTTATAGCTCAGGTCCTCTCCTTTTTCATCCTGTGTATATATGATGCGGGACTCCCCGTATCAGCGACACAGATGACTTATTTGCAAGCCTTTCCTAAGATCTAGTTTATATCAGTACCTCAAGTAGCTTAAAGATTGGATTCTGAGGCTATAATATTGGAATATAGACTTCCTAGTCTTTTTCTTACTGTCCCAAAATATAACCAGATAATCTTGAGTCTAGTTATTTGGGAGCCAAATTACTTTCTTGCAGAAACATTCTAAAGAGTTACTTTAGAAAACCTAGGAAAGTATAAGACTAAAGGCAAGCCACAGCCTGAAGCCCAAGCTGCTGACTTGAGCACAGATGGAAGAATAACAGCCAAGAAATATGAGGTCTTTGGCTCCATTCCCAGAACTGCCAGGCTAAGACCTTGGCAGAGACTCAACAGGAAACTGAACTCTATTTGCATATCCTTTTATACATGGGAGATTAAAAGCTTCAACCTTGAGTGATCACAGTTTTTGAGAATCAGGATGAGGCATTAAAGAGGAGGAGTGTCCCAAGGGAGGTAAACTGGAGGCAAAGCAAGGTAGGTGTGAGGTTAGCAATGATTTTCAATTCCCTTTGATTCATCATGAGTGTATGTCATTTAGTTCTTATTTTGACTTTATCTTTATTGGGTCAAATAAAGGAATCAGCTAGGCAGGAATGTGTGCTTCCCAATCTTGGGAATCTGTCAAATTGATCTCCTTTGTCCCACAGCTACTTCCTTCTCTTTCTTGCTGGACAGAGACCTATAGCTTGTTAGTGCTGAAGGAATCTTAGAGATTGTCTAATATAAACTCTATTGTACAGATGAGAATCTGAGGCTCATAGTGGTTACTTGGCTTATCTAAAGTCAAACAAAAAAGAGGTAAGAATTCTGACTCCCCAAATAATTCTTTTTCACCTGGCTGCTACCTCTTCTTAGCAGGTGGAAGTCTCCTCAGATCTCAGAAAGCTTCTTTCCAGCATGTGATTTGGCTCAGATAAACTTCACTATCTTCTCCCATGGAGTATGCATTTCTAGCATAGGACAGCTCTGATTACCTGGCTTTTCTTCCCAGTTCCGATAGATAAGATCCCAACAGTTCTTTAATAGAAGAAGCCAGAGGACTAAAATGGGGATGTTCATCTTCAGGATTCATTTAGGGGAACTTGGTTTTCTTGGCCAGGTTCTAGAGTGAAAACTAATCTCATGTAGAAAGCTTAGGCAGCATAAGGATGGACAAATGTCACCCTCACAGGTTAGACTCTAAACTTTATAGCTTCCTTTTTAAGGTTGGGAAAACATCCCTCTATTCCTAAAAGGGTACATTAATTAAATGTGTCCTAAGCCTGAGGAGGCCCCACAGGAGAACAGTCTCAAAGCTGGATGAGGCAGAGCTTTCTGAAAATTGAGACACCACTTTGTCCAGCTGTTGTTTTAGATATCTGAACTAAATCTGTTGGAAAAAAGTTTGGCTTGAAAAATTCATTCTTCTTGTTACTTCTGGTAAAGCTGAGACTGAATTAGGCCACTTTCATGTGGTACAGACAAAGGGCGATGAAGATGCAGTGTGTTATTGGGGACCCAGATACTCACAATAATGGACTTCTCTTTGTGACTTTCACCATTATTAGTAGAGAAAGAGTTTAGAGAGCTTGTGCAGGAAGAACTTTCCTGATGAGTTATTTTTATGAAAAATGTGCTGGCAGCATGATTGGATTTCTTGGTTTGCAAAAATTCTAGTGGTCATTGTCAATGTTCCCTCCCATACTAGATCCTTGATAACTTTCTCTTCTGTGTAAAAACTACTCTCCTTCAGGTGATTAAGAGTTGAGAGGGAGGGAGCATTAGCATTATTCAGCACCTGTGGTGTGCCAGTCACCCAACCATGCCAGGTGCATTCTAGCAATTATTTCCTTTAATCCTTGCAAGAACTCTATGAAATAGATGCTTTTATTTGTGTTTTATGCATCAGGAAATAGAGGTTTAGAAAAGTTAAGCAATCTTGTTCAAGGTCACACATGAGTAAATGAAGGGTTGTCATTCTCGTCCATTTTTGTCCAATTTGAGAGCCCATACTCTTTTTTACTATTAAAAGAGCTCACATATGAAAACGTATATGCAGGTTAGAGACCAAATTTTTAAACTTGTTCGTTTTAAGACAAGTAAAGAAAGCTTGCTAAAGTTTGGGATAATTTTCAGATTATTGTTTTTAAGTTCAACACACAGTAACATTTTTTGTGAATGAGCATATTTATTTTTGTATATCACTTTACCCATCTGCCTTGTATTGCCGCCTATTTAAGAGAGGAAAATACTTCTACTTAAACTGTGCCATGAAACTTTTTGTTAACACAATAAGGATGTTTTCATAGATATGCAAATGTGGGTTGGATTATTAAAGGTAGTTACCTGGAACTCAGGGAAAATCTCATTCTCATCTTTCCTTCGCTTCAGCGTCATTACATGTTTTGCTCTTTCTGTCTCTTTCCTCCAATGTCCTGAAAGTCAAGGGCTAAGAAAAGCGACTACGATGGGTGGCCAGCCCCACCTGAGAGGCAAGTGTAAGTTAGACTTTCTGACCACTCAGTCATTATTCAGAACAATCCCTTTGGCCAACAGGGCTTCTGGAAGAGTCTCTCAGGACAGATTCCATAGGGCCCCCATCACATCTCTCCTCACATTTCTGGATGCAGTACGTTGGAAGGTGAAAAGAGTGGGAAAATTCAAAGCAGCAAAGTGAAGCAGTGGTGTTTCACATGAGAATAAGAGAGTAGTACCAAGTATGATCAAGATGGAGATGTAGATCAGGGAGAGGGAGATCCAGTCAGAGAAAGATCCCTGATCGTACACGCAGATTCTCCTTTAGTTCTGCCTACCAGGGAGATTTCCATCCCCCTCAGTTTCTCTATGGTTCACTGAAGTCAAAGCACAATAATACTCAGCTGGATAATATGGTTTCAGTGTGTTGGTTTGTAGATATAACTGATTGTTGATGTTATTCTGGGTGATAAATTTTGCCTCCATGGAAGATGTGTCATGCTTAATCTCCCCTGAAGGACTAATTCTGGAAACATATTCACGTGGTCTCTCTGGAACTTGGTGGTAGTTGTTCATCCAGCAGAGTCTAAAGTTAGACCCAGAGGTATTGCAGATGACCACTAAGGGTCCCCAGCATTTCTCATGATCCTCCCCAAAGCCACCAGCTGATTCAGTGATTGGACCTCTGGAAAAAAGAACGCACTGATAAGAATTGTAAGAGACAGACATCGTACTACCTCAAAAATGATGACTGTTGCATCACCATAGAGGAACATCACAAGGACGGTCTTCCTAGGAAGATACCCTATGTTGGAGACTGCAGGTTGAAGAGTGCCCATAGACATACCATGAAGCTTTCAGTCTGCTTGGATGCAAAATGTAAGGGCAGGATCATTGGAATCCAATAGGAAATAGCTCTGCCCTCTTTGCATGGTTTCCTTTTATAGAATAGAGTCTACTACAGTTAGAAAAGACTCTGGGAAGGTATTGAACCCACTCTTTTGCCCATAGACATGATTAAAAATCTAGCTTTTAATAAGTTCCAGAAAAAGGAGACTCTTGAGTTGTGTGGTACAGTACCTCTGCAGGCAGGCTGCCTGGGCTTGTGTCCAGGCTCAGCTACTCACCAGCAGTATGCCCTGGGAAATGCCTTAAACTCTCCTTGCTTCAGTGTTTTCATCTGTAAAATAAGGATAATATTTCCTCTGTACTATAAGGGTAATCAGGATCATCTGTAAAATAAGGATAATAGCAATGGGTTGCTGTGAGGATGAAACAAATTAAATTGTAAACTACTCTGAAGAGTCACTTGAATATAGAAAAGCACCCCATGACTTAGGCCATCAATTATTATTATTACTAGCACTTCTTTACAGTTCTTGGTAATTTTCTTTTCAAGGATATTTTCATTTTTAATTTCTTCTTGCTGAAATTTCAGAATGTTTTCTGTTTTCAACTCACAGGAAGTGAGGATGACTCATCATAGAGTCAGAGAAGGTGAGAACTGGAAGGGACCTCAGGCTGTATCAGTTCCAGCTTCTTCACCTTATAAATGAATCTGGGCAGATGAAGTGATGGGCTCAAGATCTCACAGGGCAGAACCAGATTTTTGAACACATGTTCCAGTCTAGTGGGTTTCTTTTCTATTGTATAAAAACTCTTAATATGCCACAATTCAACAGTCTAATTTCTCCAAAACTTACTCAGGGTGACTCAGGAATGTGCCAGACTTGTGACTCTGGGGGAGGAGCTGGCATTAGATATTATCTATATTATATTATGTTGAATATAACAATATTGTTATTCTTATAACCTTATAGCATCTCATTGGCTTTCTTTTCCTTAACAGCGTTGTCGTATTGTTGACTTGCACTTATTTTGAGAAAGAAAGGAAGGGAGATTTTATCTCCGAATGGAAGGCAGGCTCTGGCCATTGATCCATCCATTCCTCAGCAGAGGAGATCAGAGGCATTGATATGGGGACAAAGGGCAAGGAGTGAAAAACAGGGTCCCTAATGAGTGGGGTTTATTTAGGTTGAGATGAAAGACAGGGAGATGGGCTTTCTTCTTTCACCCTGGAACATGTACTGAACACCTGCTATGTGCTCAGCATGATGCTAGGTACCCATAGGAATGCAAAAGGACCCAGGTCAGGTTTTGAGGTTTCAAGGGCTTTCTTTAGAAAGAAGTATAAAGCAAAGACTGAACTGTGGTCAAGTCCTCTGGGGTTCCTTGAGGGCTCTGTACTCTCACAACACCAATGAGATTTCTTATTCTTCAAGCCGCAAAGGTACTATAAGGGGCTCAGCTTGGCTGGGAGGAGAAAGATTTTCCAGCTGACTGGAGAGGAAACTAGCATAGCAGGGATGTGGACTGGAAGTACCTGGGTAATAGGGGGCTTCCCTGTGGCAACCAGGTGACAGGGTGTGGTAGAAGGAGTTCTTGACCAGGAGTTGGGAGACCTGCGCTCTTTTTGCTTTGCCACTAGCTAGTTGTGTGATGGTGGAAAAGTCACTTAATTTCTCTATTCCTCGGTTGCTACATATTCAATTGAAGAGGTTGAACCAGGAGGTGATTAAAGTTTCTCCCTGTTCTAATACTTTGTGTGTGTGTGTGTGTGTGTGTGTGTGTGTGTGTGTGTGTGAGGGGTGGGGAGGTGGTAGCAGTAGGGCTGTAGGGGTGAGGAGGATATCTTTTGTATGGAAAACATAATGATGGTTTGGATGCTGAGAAATGGATGAGCTGTGAACTCAGAGATTTTTAAGTTGATTCTTACTACAGAGGAGGGTTATTGCTACTGTGCCACCTCTCTGACTTCAATTTACAGTGACTGTTTTACTGATCCCTTCGTGGTTCTTTGTGTCTTTATTTCTAAACTTGGTGCATGAAACCTGTCTTCACCTCTTTAAATGCCAGAGGCAGTTAGTCCTCTATCAATCACTCATGACTATAACCTGTGCTATGTAAACACAGTCGAGGTCTATATGTATGAGGAAGCCCATGACATGACAGAGCTTCTG